CTACTTTAAATAGCAATTCAATCAATGAAACATTCATGCTGGTGCCTTTAAAATTATAAATTTTCTATTTTCCCAGTATATAGCGAGATCAAACAATCTAGATGCCGCCCTCACGTTAGATGGCAAATTTAAATGGAAGAACCCCTTTTTCGAGGTGGCTATGCGGCCAACTTATAGTAGGAGTAGCATCGTAAGATCTTGGCCGTTAATTCACCACTAGACTCTGTCAAATTTAATTATGAATCCTCACTATATATCATGCCTACTGGTCTGAGATGAACAGTAGTTTCGTCATCATATTGTATTTTGGTCACTTTTTCTGGACCCGATCAGATCTATGAAAAGAAGATTACTCTGTGTGTATGTAGGTATTGACCCCTCTCATTAAACAAAAAAGGAAGAGGTATTGACCCTGTTTTAATTAGATGGTCGATTTGAAAACATTAGCAAATTGAAATGAAACGAAAGAAAGTCTGAGTTACACACTGTATTTTGTTTAAGTTTTAATGTTTGATGATCAGTACATATTCAAGTAGACAGTTATCCACGTCTTAATTAGCAATTACTAAGCCATGAACCTTCATCTTGTGTTTTTCTCTCATAGGCACATGCACGTATAAATGATTCTGGTCTTCATCATACATGGCGGTGTTCCTCATGGATTCATCAAATTTGACATTATGGAAGACAAGCTAACTGTGACTCTGAGGTATCTGGACAGATCGTGGCTGGTGGAGTTCAGGTTCCATTGACGTGTCCCAGCGGGGTTCTTTTCTGCCGGCCGGTATGTATTTACAAGAGAAACACGCCTACAAGTAAGAGACATCTGCATGTTTGAGCTCATCGGTCGTGGTTTTTCCATGTTCAAAGTTTCCATTTGCAGGAGTTTAGGTCCGGAACTCATTTATGCCGACATAGTTGTACACTAGAAGTGTTTGCTTTCCATGAATCTGGAATTCATTATTATGCCTCCTTTTGGCCTTTTGATGTATCAATGAGAAGTGCAAGGCGTTTATATATATATATATATATATATATATATATATATATATATATATATATATATATATATATATATATATATATATATATATATATATATATATATATCGGTTCCTGCTTCAGCTAGTTACAGCTTTATGACCTTCCTTCTCTGGAGAGTATCTCTCAGGTTTGATGTTTCCCAAGGTTCCACATGCATGGTTCAATTTCAACCTGCCCCTCAGGAAATAATTTGACATAGTTTGGTTGTGGAAGAGGGTACTATTGCTATGGAGCATTACTGAAATGATCCTGCTCATGTCATATATAGTTTGAAGAACAGAGGGAGACTTCAAATAATGCCATCCCATCCTTGAGGTTATGTTTTCCTCCATTTCTAATTGGAGGAAGTCTTCCAACCCCGCCTCACGCCTTTGATTAGCGTGTTACAAAATACCGGTTAGAGGAAGTTTCTAACTGCATTTCTAATTGCATGATATTTATAGGGATAAGTGCATTCAAAGTCTTAAAATTTGTCACGAAAGTGAAATTGAGTCCCAAAACTTTCAAAAAGTGCAAACAAGTCCTAAAACTTATCACGAAAGTGCATTTGAGTCCTAAAACTTTAAAAAAGTTCAAACAAGTCCTAAAACTTGTCAAATTGGTTCAATCAAGTCTTTTCATTGATTGTACTTTTTAAAAGTTTTAGGACTTGTTTGCACTTTTGTGACAAGTTTTAGGACTTATTTGCACTTTCGTGACAAGTTTTAGGACTTGTTTACACTTTTTAAAAGTTTTAGGACTCAAGTGTACTTTCGTGATAAGTTTTAGGACTTGTTTATACTTTTTAAAAGTTTTAGGACTCAATTACACTTTTGTGATAAGTTTTAGGACTTTTAGTGCACATATCCCATATTTATATTTATAACTTATCCATTCAAAATACCGGTTAGAGGAAGTTTCTGCCAACTGGAGATGGAGGATGTGGCCTATGATCTTGTAAGTGGACTATACCCGACACACGTGCATGGAACGGTTACCGTAGAGAAGCCCTGGTTCTTGGAAATCGGATAATGGAGGCTAAATTTTGATCAAAAGATAACTTCATATGCCTCTTTAATAAATATGTATTGATGTTTGGACTTTTTGCGTTGGTAGTACAGAATTTGTGCCTTCTAAGGATTTCATTAGTCGAGAAAATATTGGGTGAGTGGAATACTCCACGTCAGCAATACACAACTCCATTGGGTGCGTGACACGTGGCAAGCGGGCCCACAAATCAGATTTATTAAAAAATCTGACTCTTTCCCTTCTTTCTTCCATCCTCCATTAACCCTCCGTCATCTCGCCTCCTCTACTGCTCAAATATACGCTTTTCCCCCGGTTTCTCTCTCCCTCGCTCGTCTCGCTCAAAATTCCTCCCGCTCGCAACCTCCTCTTCCTTCCTCCGCGACTTCGCCTCCTTTGATCGTGAACCCGCCGCGCCCGCCGGTTGCCTCCGCCTTCCCTTCCAGAAAACCCATATGCTCTCTCTCTCTCTCCTCCGCGAATTGCCGCTCTTTTTGTGAAACGCGCCTCCGCCTCTGCCGCTTGCCTTCGCCGTCGCCTCTCGGAGCCCGTCGGTGGCTCAGATCCCGACCACGGGGCCGCCTCCACCTACGTCGTCGCCTCCGAAGCCCCCATTGGCGATTCGTCCCTGCCCTCTCTCTCTGTCCCAAGAAAGCGGCCTTCGCTTCGCTCTTTGTGACGAACCGCGCCTCCGCCATTGCCTCCCGAAGCCCCTTTGGCGATCTCGGGCTCCGACTCGCCCTCTGCGTTGCCTCCGAAGCCCCATTCTCAGGTTAGGGTTTTATATGACTTGAACTTATTCTCGTCGTTTTTGCCCTAACGTGAAGATCGGTGGCTCAGATCCGACCACGCGGCCGCCTCCGCCTACGCCGTCGCCCTCCGAAGCCCCCATTGGCGATTCGTCCTCCCCTCTCTCTCTCGTCCGAGAAATGGCTCGCTCGGCTCTTGAAGCGGCGCCGGTGGTGGTGATGGTGGGGTTGAGGTGTGCAAGTGCGACAATCGCGGCGTGGGCCGAAGCTCCATGCCCGCCAACAAGTCGAAGTACACATGAGTCCGATCGACGCATAGCGTGAGCTTTCTAGTTCATTTGAGTGTGTGCTGCTTCGTGGAGTTTCTTGAATCAGGAGCGTATTCACAGGATACCCTAAACTATCAATTCTATATATATACGCAGTTCAACGACTCAAAAATCGGACTTCGCCACTCAAATAACACATAACTCCGAAATATGAGCCCTAACCCGGAAAGCTTTTCCGATTGGATGAATGAGAGGCGCGAGCACTTATCAGACGTTGTGTTACGAAGTCGAATCGGCTAGCCGAGGGAGCTCTCGGTCTCCCCTTTTTAACTGATCGTCCACCGTAGCTTCTTTTGACTTTATGACCCTTTTAAAAAAAAAATCCCAAATATTACAATTACAACCTTTGTTCATGTGACCATATTCAAAACTAAGATTTCAACTATGCCAGAGATTAGGCGAGACGATGCTTTCACTTGTGGAAACATACCTTATTCCGAACATTAAACTAAATTTTTCATCCAGCTGGTCATTTTGTTAAGTCCCAACGGAGAATTTCCCATCTTCCACTCCAAAAGTGGACCTTAATTCAAAACATAATCGTTTTTCGGGTCAATTTTCTGGATAGACAAGATTAACACACGGTGCTTGCCTGTTTTAAGCAACATAACGCTTTTTACCTGAAGTATGCCGAACAATATCAGCTTTGCTTATTCTGACGCAAGATAAACCCCCACATGGTTATAGAACACCACGAATTGTGATAATTTTCGACTCTGGTCACGACAAATGTAACTTCTATAGGTGATGCACCCTTCTACGACATATGGGTGTGCCAGTTTCCAATGCTGCCACTCTCTTTTTTAGAAGAGAAACTTCATTCATGCAAATTGATAATGCGCACAGATGGATCTAACGAAGTGAATAAGGATGAATCAGAGAAAAACAGCCACACCCAAGTGTTCAAATTAAGTGCAACACTAAAAGAATGAAATCCATGGTAATAATTGGAAAGACAAGGATCTAAATATAACTTTGAAAATCAGCGGACTTTGTCTTTCTACCATATGAAACATTAAGTTCCAGAACAAACAGAAACAACTAGGCAAAAATAATCCAACATAGTTACTAAAGACAAAAGGAACACCAAAATTTGTGTAATCTTCAGCATTCTTGATCACGGGTCTCACTTCTTTGCCTTCTTCGGTACCCTGAAAGCCAAATAAAATTCTCTCAGATAAATCCAACTGTGGATAAAGAGAAATCTGCCCATTTTGTTGCATATACTTACTCGGCTGCAAGTGCTGTAGCCGGTGGTGCTGCTGCTGGCTTCTTATCAGGTCCCTGTTCAATTTAGACAAGGGAATCGATTTAGAATCCACCTATGATACATAAATACATTTTCAGTCTAGTATAATAGAGCTTGTAATTTTGCTAGCTTGAAACAAAACTAATCATGTTCAATAAATGCATGAGTTCATGCATTCTGGACCCAATGTAATTTCTAAACTCCACATCATCATCAATAACGAATGAGAAAAATCATCTCGATGGGGTTTAACCGTTATTGGGTTTTATCTCTTACTTACTGCCAAACAGAAAAAATCATCTCAATGGGGTATCATGGACTTATGTCTTTCCCTCATTGGTTAGATAGTTTCATGTCTAGAGAAAAAAGATTCAAAGAAAGTTCATATCTTGTGCATTAATCCATTGTGTCTAAATGAAGTATCCAGACAAGCTATTAAAAAACCAGCAAATCAATCACCATGTGTACCACAGAATGCCACATTCTATACACAATTTTCAGGATCAACTATACTTTCACGGACGTTGTTGTCATTCCAAAATCCCTAACATTCACATATCACATTGACTCCAAATGAGGCAAAAATCCAATTCCGTGAAGACGAAACAAACCAACCATCCTTTCAACAAAATAAGATGTCTATTACCTGTCTGCCAGGACACATGCAGAAGAAGTAGCAAGCACGGTTTGTCCCTAAACTTGGGGAAGAATCAACATCCTCACCCCTGACATGCTTGGCAATCTTGTAATCTGCCACTAGTACTTTTCCACCTCCACCACGGACTTCCAATGCCAATTTTGAGTACTATAAAGTATAAAATCAACCCCATGATATCCTTGAGAAAAAGAATTATTTCACTAGAAATACTAAATTATGCAAGGAATACAATTTACTCCTATGAATATTGCGAAAAATCAAAACGAAATCTACTACCACCAGCATAAAGTTAGATATGATGGAAAAATCATACTAACATTGTGCGGCATGACAAAAGTACCAACGTGGTGCATTAGTAACTCCACACGGTTAACCACACTCAATACCAAAGCCTTTATAATTTTCAAAATTGTTGCCACCACATATAGTCAAATTGACAGCACCATCCTCCCAGATTTGTCCCATTCATCCCACATTTGATCTACTTTTAACAACTGAGATCCAAAATGAGCATCCTTCAAGAAGCATGCACCATCTCCCTCATTTCTTCTCTCTTTGTGTTATTTTTCTCCTAGTAGTTTCCCGTTTGAGCAATCTCTAAGACATAAATCAAAGATGAAAGATTCCTGAACATAGATTTACTCTCCCATCTCTCCACTGTCACTTTCTGTACACCTATCCATTTGTGGTATGGTCATCTTGCTTCATCTCCCTATCACTCACTAATGTCAAAATCTCCTTCCCACAAACAACTCTTCCTTAAGTAGAAAAACCTCCAATCTCACAATCTTCTATTGATTCAAACTCCATTCCTCATTCTTCCCAATAACTCCAGCCCAAGCCTAAACATCCCCTGCTGAAGTCAAAGGTTTAGCAGCACCATAGCATGGGCTGGAAAATGACAGTGGCAAATAGACCAATTTCAGGGAAGCAGATGTGGAAAGTGGAGGGATGGCTGGCCTAACAAATTTTGAGAGGTAACTGATTCCATAACATTGCTTGGAGAACAAAGAAAGGGAAGACAGAATGAGAGAAGAGGACATGCGGATACCATTCTGCTCCAGGCATGACAGGATATTTTTTCCCAAGCAAAAAACACAGGATTCTTTTAAGAGTCTCTCGTGGATTTACCTAGAGAACCTCAATTGGAAACTTTTAACTTCATCGATAACCTAATTGAACAATCAAAACTAAAGAGCTGACTCGACATTGTATAAAAAAAGCTCATTTCTGATGCAGTTATCCCTTCTAACAAATATAAAAGGTGATAGGAGATTTTTTCCCATTTTCAATGCTATTAGGGATATCATAGTCCTAGAAAATCAAGAGAACTTCCATAAATTTACCCTAACCACGACTGATCTAGTCACAACAGAGTGACTGATTGGTGGTACAGCATGAAAACTATTAGAAATTACCATAATGGAAGCTGATTGTTTTTATAATCCTTTTTCCACTTTTATCAGGAAACCAATTCCAAGTCCTCTCCAAGGACCGAGGAATATGCTTGAGTTATTTATCCATAATAACTTTTAGTCAGCTGAAAATGGCAGAATTAGTCACTTTTCAATGTCAATGAGATCAGTACAAGCACTCTAGATTTTGCTGTTCCTATCTAAACCATTATATTACTTCCATGACAAATTAGAGTACCAACTTAAGCTGATAAGTACTTACTTCCATGACACTATTATATATTGCAATCTCCAATTAAAAGGAGAATTTGGAAATACAATTGCTCGGTTTCAGGAATTTTTTTTGGCGATAAATGGTTTCTAAATTCAATCTGCTCTACCATCCAACAAATGTGAAAGACCATGTAAGTCGAGAAAAAAAACTCACCTCATGCTCTGGAATATAAACAATGATTGGCTGCTTGCATAATTTTGAAATTACCTGTAATGAATTTATGATTGGAACTGGTCAGTAGCTCAAGAAGAAATAAAGTGAGTGCTGCTAGCAAATGAAACTGTCAAAATGTAGAGAATAAGAAGACACCACCAGCTCCAATTAGCGCTAGAGAAACCTAGAAGAATTTACAGAAACAAAAGACTACTACGTTTGCCCATAGATGATCCATCATACTGCTCGATTTGAAACCATAGTCAACTCTTAATTCTACCCGAGAGATAAGGAAGAAAAGAAGCCAACCCCTATTATTTCTATCTTCACCAAGGGCTTAATTTAAACCACGATTGATCTAGTCCCAGAAAATCAAGAGAACTTCCATAAATTTACACTAGCAAAGGGAAGTGCATCACCAACCTGTATGCTATTTATTAGTTCTTGAGGATGTTCAACCCTCAAACCTACCTGCAAGACACAATAGAAGGAAAAACGACAGTTAATAGTTTCATTTATATTGCCAGTATCCATACATTTGGAATGATCTTACTATGCATACAAATCAAGTTGCCAAACAAGGCATTTCCAAAGATGCCAAACATTTTAGTAGCCGGACTATATATTGGAGAGGATCAAGGGTCGCAAGTTGAAACAAGGTTGAAGTAGCGATCAAGATCACAATGCAAGAATATAACATTTCATAATTGTGGCTATAAAGAAGATGAGAGGATAATATTAGCATAACAGCTGAGAAATTCATTGCCAAATTGCTTCTTTTGCACTTTCACGCAATCAATCAAATTCTCCTGTGAATACGCTCCTGATTCAAGAAACTCCACGAACCAGCACACACTCAAACGAACTAGAAAGCTCACGCTATGCGTCGATCGGACTCATGTGTACTTCGACTTGTTGGCGGGCATGGAGCTTCGGCCCGCGCCACGATTGTCACACTTGCACACCTCAACCCCTCCATCACCACCACCAGCGCCAGCTTCGAGAGCCGAGCAGAGCCATTTCTCTGGACAGAGAGAGAGGGGCAGAGGACGAATCGCCAATGGGGGCTTCAGAGGCGACGGCGTAGGCGGAGGCGGCCGCGTGGTCGGATCTGAGCCACCGATCTTCACGTTAGGGCAAAAACGACGAGAATAAGTTCAAGTCATATAAAACCCTAACCTGAGAATGGGGCTTCGGAGGCAACGCAGAGGGCGAGTCGGAGCCCGAGATCGCCAAAGGGGCTTCGGGAGGCAACGGCGGAGGCGCGGTTCGTCACAGAGAGCGAAGCGGTGCCGTTTCTTGGGACAGAGAGAGAGGGGCAGAGGACGAATCGCCAATGGGGGCTTCGGAGGCGACGACGTAGGTGGAGGCGGCCCCGTGGTCGGGATCTGAGCCACCGACGGGCTCCGAGAGGCGACGGCGAAGGCAAGCGGCAGAGGCGGAGGCGCGTTTCACAAAAAGAGCGGCAATTCGCGGAGGAGAGAGAGAGAGAGCAGATGGGTTTTCTGGAAGGGAAGGCGGAGGCAACCGGCGGGCGCGGCGGGTTCACGATCAAAGGAGGTGAAGTCGCGGAGGAAGGAAGAGGAGGTTGCGAACGGGAGGAATTTTGAGCGGGACGAGCAAGGGAGAGAGAAACCGGGGGAAAAGCGTATATTTGAGCAGTAGAGGAGGTGAGATGACGGAGGGTTAACGGAGGATGGAAGAAAGAAGGGAAATAGTCAGATTTTTTAATAAATCTGATTTGTGGGCCCGCTTGCCACGTGTCACGCACCCAATGGAGTTGTATATTGCTGACGTGGAGTATTCCACTCACCCAATATTTTCTCTTTCATTAGACCTTATAAAATTATTCAAACAGTACATTTTTTTTTTGGGTCTGTCAAACAGATGCAATCGATCAAGGTAAGGTCTTTGCATGAAAACCATTCAGTTGCGTCAGGAACCTGGTTTTGTTCAGAATCGGTTTGAATGGAAACCCGTTTGAGAACGCAATTTCATTTTTCTATTTTCGGGACAAGTTTGCTTCCAAAACTGATTCTGAAACCAGAAATGAGAATTAAAAAAAAGTTGGTTTTTCATTTCTGGAACAAAAGTGAAAACCATTTATGAGGAATTCATTTTCTTCAACACACATATTCATATGGAAGTCACGATCTTTGAGGTGAGAAAAAAAAGCAAAAAATTAAAATTTTCAAAACTTAATATAATGGTTTAGAATCTGTTGCTACCCACTTTCAGTGAAATTTTAATTTTTTTTAGGTATCGAAAAACATAAATAAAAATAAATAATAAAAAATTCACAAAATGGCTTAGAAAACCATGACCACTTTGAAAGAAAATTTAATTTTTTAGTTGCCAAAAAAATAATAAATAATAAAAATTCTAAAATTTAAAAACTTCATGGAATATCTTAGAATACGCACAATTTTGCGATTGAGCGAAATTTTATTTTTTAGGTCCGAAAAAAATAAAACAAAGCAAAAATTCAAAAATTTCAAAACTTCACAGAATGGCTTAAAATACTTGTGACCATCCACTTTGAGTGAAATTTAAATTTTTTTAGGTACCAAAAAAAATAAAAAATTTCAAAACTTCACAGAATAGCTTAAAATACATGTGGCCACCCACTTTGAGTGAAATTTAAATTTTTTTATATGCCAAAAAAAATAAAAATAAGCAAAAAAGTAAAAATTTCAAAACTTTACAGAATGGCTTAAAATACCTGTGGCCACCCACTTTGAGCGAAATTTTATTTTTTTAGGTGCCTAAAAAAATAAAAAAAAATTTCAAAACTTCACAAAATGGCTTAGAATACCTGTGGCCATCCACTTTAAGCGAAATTTAAATTTTTTTAGGTGCCGAAAAAAATAAAAAAAAAATTCACATAATTGCTTAGAATACCTGTGGCCACCCACTTTGAGTGAAATTTAATTTTTTTTAGGTGTCGAAAAAAAAATAAAAATAAACAATAAAGAAAAATTTTCAAAACTTCACAGAGTGGCTTAGAATACATGTAGCCATCCACTTTGAGTGAAATTTAATTTTCTTTAGAAACCAAAAAAAAAAAATCAAAAATACCATTTGGGCATCTAAAAAAAATTAAATTTTACTCAAAGTGGGTGGCTAGAGGTATTGTAAGTCATTCCGTGAAGTTTTGAAATTTTTGATTTTTTATGTTTTTTTCACCTAAAAATTTAAATTTCACTCAAAGTGGATGGCCACATGTATTCTAAGTCATTCTGTGAAGTTTTGAAATTTTTTATTTTTGCTTTTTTTCACCTCCAAAATTAAAATTTCACTCAAAGTGGTGTGGCCATGTATTCTAAGCCATTCTCAGTAAAGTTTTGAAATTTTTGAGTTTTTGAATTTTTTTGGGCATCTTAAAAAATTTAAATTTCACTCAAAGTGGGTGGCCACATGTATTCTAAACTATTCTGTGAAGTTTTGAAATTTCTGATTTTTTGATTTTTTTTGGGCACCTAAAAAAATTTAAATTTCACTAAAAGTGAGTGGCCACAGGTATTCTAAGTAATTCTGTGAAGTTTTGAAATTTTTGATTTCTTGATTTTTTTTGAAAAAATTCAACAAATTTCCTATTTTTCCGAAATCTAAATTTTTTTTATTTTCTCGACATTTTGATGATTTTTTCTGGAATTTTTCAATTTTTTGGGATTTTCTGAATTTTTTTAAAGATTTTTATGAATTTTTCGGATTTTTTTTATTATTTTTATTCCATTTCTAAAAAATAGATTTTTTTTCCTGGAAATAGAATTTTCTGTTGTTTATCAAAAGGGTTTTTATTTCAGGAAATAGAAATTTTGTGCTGTTATCAAACGGGTTTCTGTTCTAGAAATATAAATTTTTTGTCATTATCAAACGGATTTTTTTTCTCAGAAACTCATCCAGGAATCAGAAATAGAAAAATCTATTTCTGGTTCAGGAACTCATTCCGGAACAGAATGGTTATCATTCGCTACCTAAGAGTCTTCTTTAAGAAGATTTGCATCCAGAACAAAGGCAAATTGCACAAAACCACCTTTCTTCTTCTTCTTCTTCTCCTTCTCCATCTTCTCCTTCAGTGACTCCTGGGACACTACTTATATGGCTTGCGGTCGCCGTCACCTAAGAGAAGATGGAGGTGTCGAGCCAGAGATCGCGACTGGACCTCGTCTTGAGAGTCTTCACTTCTTCAAGATCATTCTCTCCGACACCCTTGAATTTGGGAAGCTCGTAGGTTCCTCATTTTCGCAGTCTGCTTCTTATGATTCAACTCAAGTGTCAGCAGAGTTTCTCTCATGATTTATAGTTGTCGCCCTCTTGCTGTGTACATCAATCTGGAAAACTTTCTATGCGCTTGAAGAAAAAGTGTTTTTTTTTGCAATTATCCTAAATAAAAACCGGTTTTTTCACATTGAATTGAAGATTGGTTGGCTAAGGATAGTGTGGACAAAGGCGTTGGGTCTCTCTAGCTTTACTCTCGTCAAATGAAGCAACTTTAACTAAAACTCATTTCGCAGTTGCCCGCTGACACCCTGCTTGCGTTCAAACTGATCTTACATCTTCGAACCCGCCACACCCCCCCAAAATAAAAAAACCGATCTTTCATCTCCATGTTACAGAATGCAAAATTTGCAGTGTTCTTGCTTTTGTTCCCTGCACTTTCAGTTTAACTTTGATGAATTAGAGTCCTGGACCTATAACTTTTCAGATTTTCTTAATCTGGAATTCTGAAAAGTTTCGTAGGAAGATATAGAAAGGATCTCTCGAGCTTGGTGCCACTCAAGGTTCCGGGCAGTTCGACCTGGACTACAGGAATAGAAAAGTGTCACAACGGCGCGTTGTTGTTGTGGAAAGGGTGGCGAGAATTTATGCAGCATTACTCTGTTGGTCATGGTCACCTCGTAGTTTTCAAATATAAAGGAAACTCCGCTTTTCATGTGATAATATTCGATAAGAGCGCTTCGGAGATCAATTATTCGTCGAGCAGCATATCGAAACTCAGGAGTGGATTTATCTTGCCAAAGAGGGAGGATGTGGTAGAAGTTGAAGATTCGGAGGATTGCACTCTTCGTCAAAAAATGAGGGTCGAACCTCGTTCGGCATGTTCTCAGCCGAGTCCAAGCTGCTCATCACAAGATCTCGAAGGTGTGTCTTGTCATTTTATGAGTCATGTTTCTTCTTACAGAGCTCTCTCCTTCGTTAGTTCTTTTCAAAGTACTTGAGAACTTTTTGATAAGCTTGTTTATGTTGACTGATGACATAATGATTTCAGTCATGCTTATTTTGGTAAAGTAGTTACAACTTCTAAGGCGAAGAGAAGCGAATTTTTGGTTTGGTCAACTTATCTAAATCTTGATTTCCATGACTGAATTTTCTTCCATTCTGTGCTAAATATGTTCATGGTAAGTAAATCAACTAATGAAAAGTTCCAATTTGGCGTAATCTAAATATTTCATTTCTTTTAAAGAACAGACGGGGTCGGACAGTCTAGAAGCAGAGCTAGCCATTCTAAGCCGGTTTTTGGTGGTTCTACAAGTCCGTGGCCTCTCTCTAGTTTTGAATTGGCTAGCAAATTGGACTCCGAGTATCCTTTTTTCAAGGTGGTGATGCTGCCCTCTTATATTAAGAATACTGTGGTAAGATCAAGAGCTTAATTCATGACTATTCTGGCCTTTTTCCTAAGCTGATTGGATTTCTGCAGGAAACTACATAGTTTTCCTTGGATATGTTCATCGCTATTTGTTTTTTTTTTTTTTTGGTTACTCCATCGCTATTTGTTTAAAAGGGCAAAGATCCTCGATCCCTCATGCTAGTTCTATGAGCAGAGACTCTAACATTTTGACTTTTGTCCTGTTAAGACTGTTGATTAGAGGTATTAAAACTACTGTATCGATTTACATTTTGCTTGCTGGGTTCTTTCTTTCCAAGCATGGGTTGTTCAAACATGTGCGTGGGCAGTATGTTCCTCGTAGTTTCATCATGCAGCACATTCTGGAAATCAAGGAAATCGCAACTCTCAAGCATTCAGACAGATCATGGCCGGTGAAGCTGAGGAGCTATCCTCATTCAGTCCATGGGGCAGCGTTCTCTTCTGGTTGGGACGCATTTGTGAGAGGAACTCGCTTGCGTGTAGGAAATGTCTGTGTGTTCGAGCTAATCGATAGGGATGATGTTGTGTTCAGAGTCTACATTTTCAGTAGTGCAGGTAAGTACTTGATTTTCGTTGGCTGAAGTGAAACTTTAGGCTAGTTGGCATAACATGAGTTCTATGCTAAAGATCTTCATAGTCAATTAAAGAAACATTCACACCAGTAATGTCTCTTAAAGTTCTCATTTTAACTATAGGCAGAAACAAACAGTGTAAATGCAGAGTGAACCATCTTGAGCCGGTATTTTTGTGATCCTACTCCTCCGCGTCCTCTCACTACTCCTGAATTAGCCAGAGAATTTGATTCTGAGCATCCTTTCTTCAAACAGGTGATACGGCAATGTCATTTGAAGAAACTGGTACAATCTTTGAGCCTAATCCATCATTGCCACATCTCAAGTTCGATTACGATCACTATCTGAATCTTGCCTCAATATTGTGCTTTCCCTGGTTAATTTGGTTTGTATTGGAAACCATATGACATTATATTGTTCTTCGAGTGATCGCAGGGCACCCCAAG